TTCTCATTCTGACAGCCCCCACCCGAATGTCAAATGTTGTAGCCTATAGTGAGGTTTGTCTTAGGGGGTACAAAACTTAGGGTTAGCTATTTGTACCCCAACCAACATCAATGCATCATCCATTCTTCATTCTGACATGGTATCAGTTAGGTTAGGATCCTGTGGGATCCCGTTCCTCCGTTCTCCGTTCGAGCCTCCCGAGCCTGATCCTAGCTCTCATTCGTCCCGGTTCCGTTGTTACCGCGCGTAGTGCCGCGCCTAGCGCCACTCCTAGCGTCGCGTCCTGCCCGCCCTTTCCCCCTCGTCGCGTCCCTTTCCCCCCGTCGCGTTGCGCTCTTTCCCCCCGTCACGTCGCCCTGCCCCGTCCCGTCGCCCTGCCCCGTCGCGTCGCCCTGCCCCGTCCCGTCGCCCTGCCCCGTCCCGTCGCCCTGCCCCGTCGCGTCGCCCTGCCCCGTCGCGTCGCCCTTCCCCGTCCCGTCGCCCTGCCCCGTCGCGTCGCCCTGCCCCGTCGCGTCGCCCTTCCCCGTCCCGTCGCCCTGCCCCGTCGCGTCGCCCTGCCCCGTCGCGTCGCCCTGCCCCGTCGCATCGCGCCCGCCCTTTCCCCCGTCCCGTCGACCCTACGCCCTGGCCCGTCGCCCTAGCCCGTTCTTCCGCTGCGACTAAGTCCCCCCCCCCCCCCCCCACCTGAACCCTAATTTGCCTCTTACCTCCTGCTGTTACTCGCCTGCTCGTTCGCGTTAGTTCTCGCTATGGCGACTCCGCGAGTTCTTCGTTTCGACGCTGACGGTAGACCTCTTGACTTTTCCGTCTGGCTTCTTCGCGCTCGCCGTCTGTTAGAGAGTCAAGTCCAGGGGGGCGAGACCCTCTGGTCGCACGCTACTGGTGACCTCCCCGAGCCCCCCGAGCCTGCCGCTTTAGGTCCTGCCCCTGACGATGCTGCTACGGCTCGCTTTGCCCGTCAGCGCGCTGACAGGACGGCTTGGACGTCGCGTGACGCTGCGGCCTGCATCGCACTCAGCAGCCTCCTCCCTGAGTCAGAGGAGGTCCACTTCACTCAGGTTCGCACCGCTGCTGCGTACCTCACTGCGATTAAGGCCCGCTACTCTACTCCCGCTACTGTCTCTCTTGGCCGTCTTTTCCTCCCGTTCCTGTTTCCTGATCTCGCCTCGTTTGAGCGCTCTGCTGACTTGATCGCTCACCTCCGCTCGCTCGACGCTAGTTACCGCGCTGCTTGCACTGAGGCACAGCTTGCACTGCTTCCTCCCCCTATGGCGATTACTATCTATTTCATCGCCACTAGCCTCCCTGACCGCCTTGCCTCCGTTCGCGACGCGCTTCTGCTGAAGCACCCTAGTGAGCTCACCGTCGATGTCCTTGAGTCTGCACTCAAGGACGTCGAGAGCAACCTTCGCTCGGTAGCCGCTGCCTCTGGTGCTGTGCCCCCCCCACTCTTCCACGGGTGCACAGTCCCGCAGTTACCCACCTTTACTGCCTCACTTGCCACTGCCGCTACTGACGCGACTGCAGCTGCTGTTACGACTGCGTCGCGGTCCCGCGGTAGGAGTGGCAAGAAAGGCGGTTCTGGTGGTGGTAGTGGAGGTGGAGGCGGAGGTAGTGGAGGTGGCGTTGCGCCTGGCGGCGGTGGAGGTTCAGGGCCTGGAGAGGCGCCTCGTGCAGTGACTGGTGACTCCACTGCGCCTGCTAGTGGTGGCGACGCCCGAGTTCGTCAGTCGCCTCCTGTACTTCCTGCCCCGGTTGGTGGAGCAGCGGCGTGGTACCAGGCTCAGCGTCAGCAGCAGCTTCTGCAGCACCAGCAGCCCCTCTCCTCCCAGCAGCCTCAGCAGCAGCAGCGGCAGCAGCTGGCTCCAGGGTCGGGGCTGCGTCAGACCCAGCGTGGTGCTGCTTACACTCCCTGCACCTACCAGGTTCTGACAGGCCCTCGTCGTGGCCACCCTTGTGGTTGGTTTCACCCCCCTGGTCAGTGCTTTGCTCAGCTCACTGACACGGTTCGTTTGGTCTACGGGGTTGGTGCTCCTGCCCCTGACTGGCTGCCTCTTGTTCAGCGCTACGGCTCCGCTCTGTGGGGCATGTCTGCTGAGCAGTTAGTTGATCTGATTGGTACTCCCCATGCTATGTATGCTGTTGTTGACTCTAGTGTTTCTGACTCTGCTTACTCTGGTGTTGTTAGCTTAGGTGCTAGCCTTGCTCAGTTGCCTGTTGCTAGTGTAGGTTCTTGTGTAGACTCTAGTCCAGCGGCTACCTCAGAGGACGGTTCGCTGTCGTTCACGCTGGACTCTGGAGCCTCTCACTGCTTCTTTCGTGACAGCACGACACTTACGCCTCTTCCTGCGCCTGTTTCTGTGGCGCTGGCTGATCCCACTTCGGGACCAGTCACCGCGCGTCACACTACCACCTTGCCGTGTCCGGCTGCTCCTTCTGGGTCTCTCACTGGGTTTCACGTCCCCTCGTTCTCCCGGAACTTGGTGGGCGTGCGACCCCTCGTGAGTCAGCACGTGGGTGTGTGGTTTGAGCCTTCTGGAGAGACTGCGGTGTGTGTTGACGGGGACTCTTACCAGCCCCTCGCCACTTTTGCTGCTGAGCCGGGCTCCGGTCTCCTGTTCCCTTCACTGACCTTCGTACAGCCTTCCTTTGTTCTCGTCCACCTCGTCCGTCTCCGTCTGTGCTTCCGTCTCCTCCTGAGTCGGCCCTCACTGTGTCGCTTCCTTCTCCTGTCACTGACTACTACCGCTCGTACCGTCCTGTTCTCTCTCGTGTTCTCGCCTCTCTTGTTACCCACCCTCGTGCCTCTGTGTCCTCTGTGTCCGCTCTTACTGCCGCAGTCACTGAGTTTGCCTCTACCCGCCGCCTTGACTTCGCCACCGCTCTTGTGGCTGCTCCTCCTTCCAGTCCTCTGGCCGTCGGGGGTGTGTCTGCCCTTGGCTGTGACGCCCTAGAGGACAGGCAGTTTGAGCTAGAGTTCCTGGCGGCCGCTTCCCCTCATCTCTGTGCCATGCTCCTCGCCCCTGAGGGTGACCCCGACGCCCTTGACATTCCGACTCCTCGCACTTACGCTGAGGCAGTGTCAGGGCCTTGGGCCTCTCAGTGGAGAGCTGCCATGGACGCAGAGATGGCCTCCTACAGATCCACAGGCACCTACGTCGATGAGGTTCCCCCTCCGGGGGCGAACGTAGTCGACGGCATGTGGATCTACAGGGTGAAGCGGCCACCGGGATCTCCTCCGGTCTTCAAGGCGCGCTACGTGGCTAGAGGTTTCAGTCAGCACGAGGGAGTTGACTTCTTTCAGACCTTCGCGCCCACCCCGAAGATGACCACTCTTCGGGTGTTACTACACGTAGCAGCACAGAGAGACTACGAGTTACACTCTCTCGACTTCTCTACTGCTTTCCTTCAGGGCAGTCTTCACGAGGAGGTCTGGTTGCGTCGTCCCTCTGCCTTCACTGGCTCTTTCCCTCCTGGGACCCAGTGGAGGCTGAGGCGACCGGTTTACGGTCTTCGTCAGGCTCCTCGTGAGTGGCACGACACCCTGCGTTCTACCCTGTCTGACCTTGGGTTCCAGCCTTCTTCTGCTGACCCGTCGCTGTTCGTTCGTCGTGGCCCCACACCTTTCTTTGTTCTGGTCTACGTTGACGACCTTGTTTTCGCCACCCCTGACAGGGTTGCTTTGGCACACGTGAAGTCCGAACTGCAGAAGAGACACACCTGCACTGATCTTGGTGAGCTGCGCCACTACCTTGGCCTGCAGATCACCAGGGACAGAGCTGCTCGCACCATTACACTTTCACAGTCACACATGGTGCAGCAGGTCCTTCAGCGGTTCGGGCTTCAGCACTCCACAGTACAGCGCACACCTCTTGCTGTTGACCACAGACTCACTGGACCCTTTCCTGACGAGCCGTTCGAGCCTAGTGGTCCCTACGCAGAGCTTGTGGGTTGCCTCATGTACCTGATGACTTGTACTCGCCCGGACCTCGCCTTCCCTCTCAGCGTTCTTGCGCGCTTTGTTGCGCCAGGGAGACACCGTCCTGTTCACTGGACAGCAGCTGTGAGGGTGGCGAAGTACCTAGCGACGACATCAGGCGTGGGGCTAGTTCTTGGAGGGCAGCAGTCTGTCGTACTTACTGGTCACTGTGACTCCTCTTACGCTGACGACGCTGAGACTCACAGGTCTACTCAGGGGTACTGTTTCAGCCTGGGTTCTGGAGCTGTTTCCTGGCGGTCCACGCGCTCCTCTTCGGTCTCGACCTCTACAGCTGAGGCTGAGATCTACGCTGGTGCCATGGCGGCACAGGAGCTGCGTTGGTTGACCTTCTTGCTCACCGACCTTGGTGAGCGGCCGAGCTCTGCACCGACCTTGTTCACTGACAACAAGGCGTCTATTCTCCTTTGTCGAGAGCCACGACTGGAGAGCAGAGTGAAGCACATTCACGTCAGGTACTTTCTTCTGCGAGAGTTGCAGAGGCGTGGACAGGCTCGCTTTGAGTTTGTGGAGTCCGAGGCCAACACTGCAGACATCTTCACCAAGGCGCTTCCGCCTTGTGACCACCAGAGGTGCTGTGTGCAGTTAGGCCTTGTTGACACTGGTTCTCGTGTTGCTTAGACTTGAGTGTACTGTTTACTTTGCTTTCTATATATCTCTGTTACTTCTTGGACTGGCCTTGTGGCCACTGTTGTTTGTGCTCAGACTGTGTGGTGACGTTGTGATCCACCCTGAGCTTCGTTTCTTGGACTGGTCTTGTGACCGTACTCGTTTGGTTTTGCTAGACACCCCTCACTTAGGCTATGGGGGTGTGTCAAATGTTGTAGCCTATAGTGAGGTTTGTCTTAGGGGGTACAAAACTTAGGGTTAGCTATTTGTACCCCAACCAACATCAATGCATCATCCATTCTTCATTCTGACACCGAAGGCCAGAATACTGCTGACTGTTTTCTTATATACCAGTCTCTTTCTAACCTAGGCTACGCAGTAATTTACTTCCATTATGCATCCAGTTGAGTAAGGGCACATTCCGCTGTGGACATGTCCCAAACAACTATACCACTCTGCACCACATTACACCTGAACAAAAAAATGTTCCACCGCACTGTATCTAGTCCAGTGGTTCGTTCCTTTGTGATGCTTAGTTAAGGGACATGTCCACAGCGGAATGTACCCTAAGAGCACAAACTTTGCACATTTGGGGCAAGGATGAGTCACAATGTGAGCGAGCGAAGGCAAGCGAAAAACCAGTGAAGCTTGGAAATAAGTTAGGCCGACTCTTTCATTGTGGTTCGGGCTAGTCCAGAAGCGTAGGGGCTGCTTTGGCCTTTCGCAGCAAAGCAAAGTTTGACAAAGGTGGTGTGACAGTTGAGGTAGAACCATTGGTGTAATTGAGGCCAAATTTTGATTCTTAATTACAATTTTCCATTTCGAGCAGGTGTAGCAAGAACATGCGAAAGCCTCCACAGCCACCAACCCAAACTCGGTGTATTTACAAGCCCTTTGGTTCCCTCCTGTCCCGACAATTCGGATTGTGCTGGGCTGGTCATATTCCCGCCTACTTCTCCAGTGCATTGGGATCTCCAGCATCTCAGTAGTCACAGCGTTGATTGGGCCACGCACTGCTGATAATGGCTCCGGATTCGCCGCCTTGGTCGTCTGTCGATTGCAATTAAGGACGTCTCTAGTTTTACTGTGCGGTTTTTGAGGATAGGGAATAATGACAAGTGAGCTGCTGACCAACCTCTTTCACATTGTAAGGTTTCCGCGCTTATTGATGGCGCTCACTGATACAGTACGCGCCAGAGCCGACAAATGCGCGTCAACTTTAATAAGCGAACTTCGCTCCATCATGCTGTTCCCCTCTTTCAGCCCGTTGTCAGCCGCGGCTTTATGGCGCTTCTAGTCACACTTGATCATTGCGGTTCCTTTTAACTGAGTGGAGGCGATTCAAACGGAGGACGTTCCCTTGTAGAATTTATAAAATGCACACCGCTAGCTTCGTCTGCTTCCGCCATTGCTCTACCAGGCCCAGTCCACATTTGATGGTCTCCGTTTCTCGCGCGTTCTCTGTCCCTCTCATTTTATCCCCATGCTCGCCCTTTTCGACCCGCCAGGATAGCCCCGCCCACGTGTATTGGAAGCAGTGGCGTTTCATCCCCCGCGCTGCTCCCCGCGTCTCCCCTTCGCGCCCCTCCGCGTCCGCCGCCGCTAAGCGGACTCCACGCGGCACCCCTCGTGCCGCCTCCGCCGCTGCTCACGCGGAAGAAGCGGAAAGGGGCGGGCGGAAATGGCGAAGCGGAGGCGGAGAGGGAGCGGGGGAGGGGGTGGAGGGCACACTGGCGGGGGTGCGGGCGGCGGTGAGGTGGCAGCAATGGTGGAGAGCGAAGGGGATGATGGCGGTGTGCTGCTGGGGCGAGACGAGAGGCACCGGCGGCGCGCAGTGGGAGCCGCGCGTGTGGGTCTTCTGCTCCAACCCCACCTTCTCCTCAGGCCCGCGCCCCTCCTCGCACCACCAGCAGCAGCAGCAGCATCACCATCACCACCACCGGACACGTGGGAAGGCAGCTCGGGGAGTGAGAGGAAAGGCCGGAGCAGCAGCAGCAGGAAGGGGAGGCGGCGGGAAGGTGTTTGAGAAGAGGCGGAGTGAGACAGCGGCAAGCGAGGGTGGATGGGGTGGTGACAGCCTTGCTATGAAACCCACTCGTATGACCTTGCCCTCCATCTCCTTTTCTTCCCTTCGCGCGCTCTCTCTCGGTTTCTCCCGCTTCTTCATTGCTCCGCATCTTCCACCACGCCCTCCATCTCCTTTCCTCTCCTCTCCTCTCCTCTCCTCTCCTCTCCTCCTCTCTCCTCTCGGTTCCATTCCCCTCCCTCTCTCGCCTCTACCCTCTCTGAGCCAGCAACATACACTCTTCCCTAATATCCCACCAACACCCCCCCTCCCCCCCCAACCCCTCCCCACCCTCCTTTCCCCACCCCAGTGGCGGCATGGGGCTACTGGGCAGCGCGCGGTGGGTGTGTGTCGTTCCGCTTGCACAGGCCTCCCACTCGCCTCAGGCTCGCGCACAGGGTGGCCGCAGTGAGGCGCGGGGTCAAGGCACGCGCGAGGACCGCTGGCCGGCGCGAGAAGGCAGGCATTGGGCCGGGGGAGAAGGGCGGAGGGCGCGGCAGTGGGTCGCGGAAGAGGGGGCGGGGTGGCGGAGTACGTGGGGGTGGGGGGGAGAGGATGGCTAAACGCGCGCGGGTGCTGGGGGGAGGGGGTTTGGAGGGACTTGCGGGTAATTCCAAAGAGAAGCCAAGGCGGAAGGTCAAGGGGGTGGCTAGCAGACGAGGTGGGGCGAGCGGTGTGCGTGGGAAGGGCAGAGGGGGAGGCAGGCAGGCGGGAAAGACGAAGCAGGGAAGGCGGGCAGCAGGGGCGAGGCGGACAGGGAGGAGGAGGGTGGGTGTGGACGGAGTGAAGGGGGCGCGGAGGAGGAAGAGAGTGGTGGTGATGGGTGGGGTAGGGCATGAGGAGGTGCTGTACTGGCTGTGTGAGGCGTTGAGGCAGAGAGTGGCGCGGTGAGTGATAACATGTGGTGAACCAGCTGTGTTGTCATGCTGTTCTGCTCTTCCCTCCTGTCACTGCTTCCCACTACATGTCCAGTCCATATGTCCTTACTTTCTTTCTCTCCCTGGCTTTACGTGTTGCCCCTTTCCTCTACCTCCCTAGGATTCACTTGCTTCGTTTGATTGTTTCCCAACTCCGATCCCGTTGGTGTGCTATCTCTGTCCTCCCCCCCCCCCCAAACCCTCGTGTGTCCGGTGTGGCATGGTGGGCCAGGGCGTTCGAGGCAGCAGGCTATGTGGAGTTCGATGGGGTCTTTGTCAAGCCCACCACCACACGCAGGTACGTGTGCGCGGAAGATCTTATGCCATGCCATGCCATGCCATGCCATGCCATGCCATGCCATGCCATGCCATGCCATGCAATGCCATTCCACCCCACCCCATCCCATCCCACTCCACGCCAGGTCGCCGCCATGACGCACCCACTTATCCATCCTTGCTCCTCTGCATGGTCCCCACCCGCCGTTTGAACCCTGTGGCAAGGCAGCTTTCGTGAGGCCCCTGAAGCTTGACCTGTGTCCATGTTGTGCTGTGTGTCTGTGTGCAGCCAAGCCAGCCATGCAGCGGCCATTGCATGTGAAGTGCGTGTGCGCCCCTCCGCCTTTGGTCTCCTGCTTCACACACACGTCTCCACCAGGTAATCTCACCTCACCTCACCTCGCCCCCTCTCACCTAATTCCTTTCCTCACCGCACCACCTCATGTCACCTCACCCCACCATGTCTCACCTTTCACACGAGCTAGCCACCCCCATGACTCGAATTGCAGTCAGCTGTCACTTCCCCGCTTCTTCCAAAATTACCCGAAATCCTGTACCCAAAACCCCTGAGTCATCTACTCCTCTTGCATGTGCCCCATATTGTGGTGTGCCGTGGTGTGGTGTGGCGTGGTGTGGTGTGGCGTGGTGTGGTGTGGTGTGGTGGACTGTGCACATGTGGCCAGGTCGTTGCGGGCATTGACTCCTGCTGACTTCTCACAGCAACGACCCCATGGCTCCGCACTGCCAGGTGAGGCAATGGCGCTGCCACACACACACCGTGTGCCGTGGGAAAATTCCACCATACACGTGCCGTGCATCAACTGTGATGCCGTCAACGGGCCCATGCTCGCTCCCCCTGCTGCACCTCGCCTCAATCCCTCTTTCCACGCCCAGCCCACCATCCACCTATTCTCCAATCCCCTTCCATACCCATTCCCCCCGCTCTCCCCCACTTCTGCCCACCTCCCTCTGTGCCAGTGCTGCTGGCGCCAGCAGCGTGGCCTGCCCTGGTCCACCGCCCCACGCCCCCTCGCCTCATCCGCTTCCTCCGCCGCTGGCGCGTGGAGCAGCACTTGAGGCGCACGCAGGGAAGAGAGGCGCCAAGGGGTCTACGAGCAGCAGCAGTGCGGACGAAGCTGGGGAGGGCGGCGGGACAGGGGCTAAGGCGGGGGACAGGGAAGGCGAAGCAGAGGAGGAGTGCTGTGGGTGTGAGGGGGGAGAAGGTGAAAGGGAGGAAGGGGAAGGTGGGAGTGCGAGTGGGGAAGGGGAAGAAGGGTGGGAAGAGAGCAGCTGCTGGTGAAGGCCGGAAGGGTATGGGTGGTGAGAAGAAGAAAAAGAAAAGAAGCATGGTAGGGAAGAAAAATATGGTGAAGACAGGAGGAAGGAAAAAGAAGGGAAAGGTGGTAGGGAAGGGTAGCGCCGGAGTAGTGAGGAAGAAGGCAGGGGAAGCAGGGGCGAGGAAGACAAAAGGGGAGGCAGGACGGACGAAGAAGCGACCATTGGCTGCGAGCAAAGGGAGAAAGGAAGTAGGCGTGAGGAAGAGGACGGAGAGGGCGGGCCGGGCAAGAAATAAAGTGGTGGTTGCGAGGAAGGGGAGGAAGAAGAAGAGGGTGACATTTGCTGATGTGCGCAGTCGGAAGGTGGTGACACGGAAGAAGGGCACAAGACGAGTGAAGCTGCTGCACACGATGTGAGTGCATGCAATGGGATTGGAATGTGGAACACATGGCTGGGGAGAATGGCAGGAAGGTGAGTAGACTGTACTGTGAGTAGACATGGGTAAGTGCATGTGTGCATGCTCTTCCAGTCACATGCTGTATGTTCGATTACCAATGTGACATGGTGGAAAAAACCCTTGAATGGTGATGGCATGGCATATGCGGATATGACATCTACAGGATAGCAGGGGCATATGCATTGTAGTTAAATTGTTTCTTGTATGTGTGGTGAATAATTACTGCTCTACTCTCCCTCTCTCTCCCTTTCTCTCCTTCTCTATCCCCCCCGCTCGCCCCCATGGCCCTCTGTCCCAGTGGCAAGTGGCAGAATCTGCTCTCCCGCCGTCCACCCACCGCACGCCTCCCTCCAGCCATCTCTGCCGCCCTGCAGCCGCCCCTGCCGCCCGCTGCCGGGCCGCCCACGTTTGTGGAGGTGGAGCTGTTGGTGCCGGTGGTGGGGCGGCAGGGCCGCATGACGCGGCGGGGGAGGGGTGCGGGGAGTGCGGGCCGGGTGAGGGGTTTAGAAGCGAGAGGAACAGTGGCGGGGCCGGATGGTGGGAGAAGTATGGTAGGTGGTGGGGGCGATGGAGGTGGGATGGGCGAGGGAGGGCAGAGAAAGGGAGAAGGGGAAGGGGGGGAAACAGTGAGGGGTGGTGGGGCAGTGGGGAGTGGTGGCAGCGGGCGGTCAGGCCAAGCAAGAGGTGGTGAGAGGGAACATCCGGACGACGTGTCTGCAGCAGGGTGCGAGAATAAGGCCAAGGGAGGAGGAGGCGAGGCGGGCACAGAGGGAGGGAGTGGTGCAGTGCATGTGCAGGGGGGGCAGGAGGGAGTGATGCGAGTACGGTTGCTGGTGGACTCACGCCTTGCCATGCTGCCACTCTTCCACCCGCCTCCTCTGCACCTCCTCTCCTCTCGGTCAGTCCCCTCTGCTGCCTCTCCCTAATGAGTTCAGTGTCTTCATCCCGCCCCGCCGGTGCTTTCGTTTCATGCCACGGCAACTCGTGCCTGTGCCTGCCTGCCACCATCTGCCTGCGCCCACTGCACATTGAAACATCGCGACGACGCGTGGCTCGATGCAATGCAGCATCTTCCCGGTCTCGGGATGGGAAGCTGCTGCACTGCTTCAGGCCACATGTCCATGTTCTCACTTTACTTCCTGATCCCCTTGCCATGCTTCATTGATCTTCTCCCTTGCATCCCTCTCTCTCCCTCCTCCCTTCCTCCCCTCACAACGTACCTTTCCTCTCTTCCCCGTTCCCGTCCCCGCTACAGCATCCGGCAACTGCTTCCCGCCCACCAGCCATCGCTGCTGCCCTCCGCACCCAATCCACACCTCCCCTCTCGCCAACCACGCCCCTCCACTCTTCCCACCCACAGTCCCGCCACTGCTGCGCCTCTTACCGCTGCACCCTCTCTCCACCCAGCCCCTCCCTCCCACCCTTCTGCCGCTTCCATCCCCCCCGCCTCTTTCCCACCGTCGCCACCGCTCTCCTCTCTCCCTCCCTCTCTCCCCCTCGCCTTGCCTCATCGCCTCGAGCTTGCTGCACCTCTCTCCTTCCTCCGAATGCTGCCCAGGTAACGCCCTGCCCACTACCCCCCCACCCCGAATGCTGCCTGCACGATCTGCACTATCTTTGCAACGTTTTTCCTTTTGTTCCTCGCTCCTCACCTTCTCTCTAACGACTCTCCTTGTGTCTTCGTCTGCCCCTTCATCCCCATGCCCCCATCACAGGCCGCCCCAACCCAAGCCATCCCCCCGCCCCCCCACTCCGCCACCACCCACCCCTCACCACTCCCCTTCCCCTCCTCCCTCGCCCCACCCCACCGCTCCTGCCTCCCCTCCCCCTGCACCCGCGCCTCCCCCTGTCCCCTCCCCTGCTGCTGAAACTGCCACTGCCGCCAAGGAAGGGGAGGAAGGGGGGGAGCAAGGCAGAGGGTCGGAAGGGGGGCGGAGTGGCAAGTCAATGGGCACGTGGCAGGTGGTGGCGGTGGGGAGAGGGGAGGCGGAGGGAGGTGGTGATGGCAAGGATGGGGAGAGTGGGGCTCAGGCACTGGCGAGCAGGGACGAGGATGGGCAGGTGAGAGGCATGGCACATGGCTGATGGGAATGTGGTACACATGGGGCATGGCTGGCTGATTGCATATAGCTGGCCTGCATGGCGTATGGAGCATGCATGCTTACGTGTGTGCATCCGTGCTGGTAGCTGAGTGTGCTGAGTGTATGCATGCATGTGCTTGTGCACACAAGCCACCTCTACCATCTCTCGCCTCTACTTTACCCCTCACCACCCTCCCCTCTCCCGCCCCCTCCTCTCCCCTCCTCCCGCTCACACCCTCTCCCTTCCCCTTACACCCATCTTCCCGCCACCCTCCACGCCCACACCACAGCAGCGCAGCAAGAGGGCGCGCACAGCGGCCCCCACCATAGGCCTGGACGCCATGCGCGAGCCAGACCTCTTCTGGTCGCACCCGCTCAACGCCTGGTTCCTAGGCCCGGGAGACGCGGGTTCCGAGCCTGGGGGCGAGGCTGGGGGCGGGGGCGGGGGCGAGGGGGCAGGGGAGGTGGTACTGGGCGTGCAGCAGCTGGTGGCGGTGCTGGATGAGGTGGATGGGCAGGTGGTGGCGAGCATGCGCGCTGAGGGGGGCGTGGGGGCGCTGCTGGCCGAGGAGGATGGCGATGACGAGTGGCTGGGCCAGGTGAGTGCTGCAGGGACGCAGGGAGGGGTGCGAGGTGGAGGTGTGAGGGGAAGGGGTGATGGGGGAGGTGTGATGGGGGAGGGGTGATGGGGGAAGGTGCGGGGGAGAGTGAGGGCTGTGAGCAACAGATTTAGACGACTGGTGGGGGAGATGGAGGTGGGGGGATGTGATACCTGAGAGGCAAGTCACTTTGTGCGCTTGCTCATGCATGTGTGACCACTGGCATCAGTGTTATCTCATGATCCACTGGCACTTCTGCTGCTGGCCGTGCCAAGTATCAATGTCCCATACTCTCCTCCTGCCCTTCCTCCTTGCCGTCACCTCCATATGCTCTCAATCACTTTCTCTGCATCTTCTTTCCTTCAGCCCACTATCCCCCCTTCACCCACGCCGTGCCCTCTCCCTCTCCCCTTCCCGTCCTTTTCCTCCCAGCTACCTGGGGAACCTCCGCCCACCGCTCTCCACACCGCACACCTGACCACGCACCGTGCACCACACGCACGCGGCCATGAGAGCACAGCATCCGCGTCCCGGGCATCGCTGGCCCTGCGTGCGGGGCGCAGGGCGAGGGCCATTCGCCTGGAGCAGCGCGTGCAGAATGAAGCAGAAGTGCTGCTGCCACCCGCATACACTGCTGCTGCCACCGCTGGGAAGGCACACACACACACTGCAGGAGCAGCCACACCGACACAGGGGATTAGTGCACAAGCCATGGGGGTTCCAGGTGCAGGTGCTGGTGCTGGTGCAGGGGCAGGGGCAGGGGCAGGGGTAGGGCATTTGAACAGTCGAGCAGATGGAGGTGTGGGTGTGGGAGTGGCGAGGAAGGGAGCAAAGGAAGGAAATGAAGCAACGGGGGCTGGAGGCGCAGCAAGAGACGGAGCCCCCACAAGGCTGTACCGTTGCAGTGTTCCTGCCTTTGCCCGCCGCGTGCTGCTGTGCCCGCCAGACCCACTTGCTGTTCCTGCCCCTGCATCGGACCACTCCCACCTCCCGTCTGCCTCTACTGCTGCTGTTCACCCTGTGGAATCATCCCAGCATGCCACCTCCACACCCGCTACAGGCAACAGCACCACCACTACCACCAGCAGCAGCAGCAGCAGCCGGCAGCGATATGTGTACTCAGAGCTGCCACCGCCTGCCATTCCCCAGAGCGCATCTCTTCCCCCTCTCACACCGCACTCAGCTTCTACCACTGTTTCCCCCTCCTGCCCTGCCACTCCTCCTCTCTCTGACCACCCCCTGTACCGGGCATCACTGTTCCCGCCCCTGCACGGTGCATCCCCGCACGCCCCTGCTGCTGTTGCTGCCCCTGGGGGTGCGATAACCAGGCCTGGGGGTGCCCTGGTCCCTGCTGCTGCGACGTCGGGAACGGCTGATGCGCGGGGCAGTGGCAGTGGCAGCGGTCTTGCTGGCACTGGTGCAGGCGTCGCTGTTGCTGCTGCTGCTGGGGCAGGTGGGGTTGGTGTGGCATGGGGACCAGGGCCGGGGGCGAGTGATGGTGCTAAGGACAGCAAAGCCCTGCCGCCATGCACGCCTTATGAGCTGGTGCCTTCTGTGGTGCTGTCTGTGCCAGGAGGTGGAGGAGAGAGTGATGGTGGTGGGATGAAAGTGGAAGGGGTGATGGTGAGCAGGGAGCTGATGGGCGTCACAGGGGAAAGGCTCGTTGTGAAAGCAGAGAAAGGGGAGGGGAGGGATGCGAGGGAGGAGTTGAAAGGAAGACTGAAGGAGGACGAGCAGAGGCCGGGTGAGGCGGGGAGGAAGCGTAAATTCGTGAGGTTTGTGGGTGTTGACGGGGACGAGGAGGGCGATGCTGATAAAGATGGCGGGAAGGCAAAGCGGCAAATGAGGCGCACTAAAGGAGGCAGTTCGAGCACGGTGAAGAGAGATGTGGATGGTCCGGTGGTAGGCACGCAGATGGTGCAGAAAGGGAGGTTGTCAGAGGTGCAAGGGAAGACGACGGGGAAGGAGGATGGGAAGGTGGGCAAGAAAGGGAAGTCGGCATGTGCGGTGCGAGAGGGGAAGGTGGGTGGTGCTGCGGATGGAGTGAAGGGAGGAAGAGGTGTTGCGACCTCAGTCAAAGTGGGTAGCGCGGATGATAGGAAGGGGACAGGAGTCAAAGTTGGAGAGAGGAGGAAGGTGAAGGTGAAGGGGACGGGGGAGGTGAAGGGAAAGAGGAAGGGGGAGGGGAAAGGGGAGGTGAAGGGGGAGAGGAAAGAGAAGGTGAAAAGGGAGGGGAAGGTGAAGGGGAAGGGGAAGGGGAAGAGGAAGGGGGAGGTGAAGGGGAAGGGGAAGGGGACGGTGACGGGGAAGGGGAAGGGGAAGGGGAAGGGGAAGGGGGAGGTGAAGGGGAAGGGGAAAGGGGAGGTGAAGGGGAAGGGAAAAGTGAAGGGGGAGGTAATGGGGAAGGGTAAGGTGAAGAAAAGGGTGAAGGGGGAGATTAAGGGGAAGGGGAAGGTGGAGGGGAAGGTGAAAGGGAAGGGGAAGATGAAGGGGAAGGGGAAGGTAAAGGGACCAAAAACGAAGCTGCATGGAGTTGGGGATACAAGCAAGGGCGCTGTGAAGAAGAGGAGGATGAAAAGCGTCAAGGGGCGGCACAAGGGCGAGCGTATAAGTAGCCGGGCGGTGAAGGGCGGTGGAGTGCGGTTGAAGAGGAAACTGGCGCGCGGGGGGAGAGCCAGGCAGAGGAAGGGAGGGGGAATGGCATGGCGATGGCTGCTGGGGGCGCAAGTGAGTGTGGGGCGCTGTGGGGGGGACAGCAGGGAGGAGTGGGAGGCGATGCCTGTACTGGGGTTGCGGGAAGAGATGGGCATGATCAAGCTCTTGTTCTCTCATCCGCTCGCGCAGGCTAAAGGTGACGAGGACGTATGTGAGTGCAGTGGGGTTGGTGGGACAGCTGGCAGCACGGCACACATGGTGGGAGGCAGTGTGCAAAGGGGAAATGCACAGGGTGCTGCAGCAGCAGCAACAGCAGGAGTAGCTACTGCACTTGCTGCTCCTGTTGTTGTTGCTGCTGCTGCACCTGCTCCTGCTTCTGCTTCTGCTTCTGCTTCTCCTGCTTCTGCTGCTGCTGCTGACGCGGTGCCAGCACCAGAGCAGCCATCCAATCCGGTCCCTGCTTATGATTCCACAGCAACAGGGGCGCAGCTACCACCAAACACCGCACACAACCCCTCCACCACCCCAGCATCACTGCAACCACCATCTGAACCCCCATCAGCAGCAGCAACCGCAGCAGTGGTGCCATGCGCCATAGTGCGGCAGGCAGAGGCTCTCAGGGACCCCTCTCTAGACACGGCTCTGCTGGCAGCAGCACACGGCAGGTGCCCCTGGTGTGCACGCCGCCTGCCCTCTCCGCTCACCACCTCCTCTGCGTCACCCCAGCAGCGTCAGCGCTCATGGGCAGGCACACGTGGGGGATCGCCGCTGCTCGCACTCTGTGGGGATGCTGGCGTGGCTGGTGCTGGTGCTGCTGCTGGTGCTGGTGGCAATGGCAGCAGCAGCAGTGCGGGGCAGCGTATCCTGGCCAGCCTGCAGGGACCTGTAAGTGACATAGCTTACGGTGGGCTGGCGTGCTTATGCCTCACACATTTCTCTGCTGGAGGGGTCTGGGCCTTGGGTAGGAACGGCTGCAAGGTGCCGGGGGCAGGATCTGCTCTCCTTACACTCCACCTCTTCTCTGCTGCTCCTTCCACTCCACCTCTTCTCTGCTGCTCCTTACACTCCACCTCTTCTCTGCTGCTCCTTACGCTCCACCTCATCTCTGCTGCTCCTTACGCTCCACCTCATCTCTGCTGCTCCTTACGCTCCACCCCTCTGATTCTCTCCCCTCCCAACCCCTCCTTTCCCCCTTCGTGAGTATGCACAAGTACATTTCTGTCCGGTAACACTTGATGAGCCTCAAAACTCGTATCATATGGTAACATGTAACTCCTTGCGTGTGTGTGTGTGTGCTTCCTCCCACTATAATCCCCACAGCTGCCGTCACCGCTGACCGCTGCGCTGCTGGCGGGGGAAGTGAAGTCGCTCCTCCTCGCTGCCTTTGGCTCCCGCCGCCTCACCGGCCCGCTCTCCCTCCCCGCCCTCGCTGCTCCCACCCGCCCCACGCCCCCCCTCCCCACCCCCACAACTTCCCCTGCCGCCCCCCCCTCCTCCCCCGCTCCCCCCACGACCATCAAGCCACCTTCCCCGAAAATTCAACCCGAAGCCGCGCCTGCTGCTGCTGGTGCTGCAGCAAAGGTGGGGGAGGAGGTGCTGGGAGAAAAGGTGGTGGGGAGTGGAGGAATGGAGAAAGCCGCAGTGGTGGAGAGTCCAGGAGGAAAGGCAGGGGGTGGCGCAAGTGATGTGGGGAAGGTTGGGGCGGATGAGGATGGGGATGGTGGGCGGCAGGGGAGGGGTGCGGATGGGGATGCGAGAGTGAGGGAGGAGGTGGAGGAGGGGGAGGCTGTGGAGATGGAGGAAGGGGAGGCGAGGGAGGAGGGGGCCGTGGAGGAGGGTGAAGCAGTGGAGGTGGAGGTGGAGAGGGGGGGGACGGGAGAAGTGGGGGAGAGCAGGGCCACACGGGGAGTGAGGTGGGAGGGGGTGAAGGGCGGGAGTGGTACGGAGGGGAGGGACGGGAGCCAAGGGGTGAAGGAGGAGGGTGAGGCAGGGGTGGTGGGTGCAGAGGTCGGTGCGAGTGGGGGGATTACGGAGGGTAAGGACGTGGGCGCACGTAGAGAAGAGGAGGAGGGGGAGAACGAGAAGGGGAGTGGAGCAAGCAAAGGGGTGGAGGCAGAGGGTGGTAAGGAGGTGGAGGGGAGTAAGAAGACGGAAGGGAGTAAGGACGTGGGAGAGAGTAAGGAGGTGGAGGGCAATGAGGAGGAGGCAGGGAGCAGAGTGCGGAGTGTGGTGGCGCTGTGTCCTCCAGCAGTGCTGGTGGGGTATCAGGACGACTGGCTGGCCACCTCGCCCTCGCTGCTGCGCCTCTGGGACAAGGCGCCCTTCGAACCCTACTGCCTGCCTAAACCCGTACGCCCTCTTCTTCTGTTCTTCTCCCCCCCTCCCCCCCACACACACCCACCTACCCACCTGCGCTCCTGTGCGTGTTCTGTACTGTCATCACACGGCACTGTCTCTTGCTCCTCCATTCCGGGCTGGCCCCAAGGGCTCCCTCTGCATGCTTTTATCCCCCACCATCCCGTCCGCGCGTCCTGCTCTCCCCACTTCCTGCACTGCTCTGTCCTTCTCCACTGCAACCCCATCTCTCACTCCCTGCTACTCCCCACCCCTTCAACCCCCACGCACCTCACCCCACCCATTCCAACCCCTCCTGTCAACTCCGCACCCCATGCGCCCTGGCAGCTATCAGTGTTGGCCATCTGCCCTGCGCTGCCTGCCATTGCTCGACCCCTGCGCGCCTTCCTCTCTGACCTTGCTGCAGGTAATGCCCTCTCTGCCATCCCTCACTCGCTCCTTCACTGCACACCCTCCATTCAGCCTGTCTTACTCCCCTCGTTACTCTTTATCCGCCCTGCACCCGCTGCGGTGTTCGTTGTTCCGAGTCAACCAAAGAATAGACGGTGTGTGAGATGTCGTGATGTGATGTGTATGCGGCTCGCCTATCCCCAACTGCCTCCGTCCATGCAACCACCCCCCACACCGCATCCCCCTCTTTAACACCCCTTCAATCCCTCTTCACCTTTCCGCACTCCTCCCCCCAACCAACATCCTCTCCCCCCACCATACGCCCACTGCAGTGTACGAGGCATGTTCCCTGGGCACCTTCTCCCCACTGCTGTCGCTCTCCCCCGCCCCCGACCAGCACCACCCCCCGGGGATGCTACCAGTGCCGCTGCCCCCCGCCCACCTGCCCCCGGCCCGTGCCGTGGGTGCTTTCAGTGACGGCGTGGCAGCTGCTCTTGCGAAGCTGCCTCGCACCGCCCTCTTCCCCCCCACCAACTCCACCGACCCTGACCTCTGCCCCTCCACGGTGCACCCCCTGCCCTGCCTTCCGCCCCATTCTCACTCACTCACTCACTCACTCATTCACTGCCTTTCTGTTCAGATCGCTCCCTTTCCCTCCCTTCCTCGCTCTTGTTTCCTCCTAACAACCCCTTGCTTATCCGCCACTGTCCCTCTCTGCCTCGCTGTTTCCCTCGTTCCATTGGCCCCTCGTGGTGGATGCATCTTAAGCTGAGTGTCCAGTCCATATGTTTTGTCCATGCCGCCATCTCGCCTCTTCAACCAATGAATGCATGAAACAAGTCGTGCTCATGCTTTCCTCCACTGCTCAACCTACCCAACCCTTCTACTCTCCCTCCGTTCCTCCCGTTCCTTTCCTTCGCCCCGCTTCCCCACCTCTCCCTGGTGTGTGTTGCGGACAGCTGCTCCTGCTGGTGTGCCCCTGGACATCCCCTGGGGCGGCCCTCTCCCTCTTCCTCCGCACTGCTGCCCACACCCATGCCCTCACGCTCGCTGCTGCCAAAGGTACCAATATTGCGTGTATGTTCTCTCTCATATGCCACTTTGCCTCTCTGCTTATGCAGTGGATGGATGGACTGGCATACCTGTATGCCACTCACATCGCTTCCCTTTGTCTGCTCCTCCTGCCATTCTATCTGCCTCCATCCCTGCTCTGCTCCCTTCTCTCTCCGCCTGAATTTGCTTCCAACCTTATTACCTTCTCCCTTCCCATCCTCCTACCCCTCACGCCGCCAACTTTCACTTCCCCCCTCTCCCCACTCGCCACAGACTCGCCCGCGTCAGCATCACCCACAGCCGCACATCCCACTGTGCCGCCCAGTCTCACACTCTTCCCGCGTCCACTCACCGTGCACCTGCTGCCCATGACCCATGTGCTCTCCCTCTCGCACTCTGCGCGCGCCAGCTCCCTCCGCCAGCTTGCCCTCTCGCTCTTCTCCAAAGTCCGACGCTCCCTCCTCCCACTGCCTCACTGCCCTGCTCCCACTGACGGGGGAAATGCAGCAGCAGCAGCAGGAGGCGGAGGAGGAGAAGAAGCAGGAGCAGGAGGAGCGACAGGGGCTAGAGCAGGAGAGGGCGTGGGAGGGATGGGGGGAAACGAAAAGGTGGTGGAGGGGCGAGGGGGGGGAGAGGGCAGCAGTCACGGCGGGACGAGTTCTGGGGTACCAGCAGGCAGCGGGGCCAGCGGGGGGGACGTGGGAGGGGGTGTCGTGAGGAGCAGTGGCAGTGGTGGTAGCAGTGGCGGTGGTGATGGGGGTGGGGATATGGATGTGTTAAGTGAATTAGCAAGGAGGGGAGGTGGCGTGGGGGGTATCGGAGTGAGGGGAGGGATCATGGATCGACTCAGCAGACAGCCCATGCAGTCGCCCTCTGCTGCTGCAGCGCCAGCAGGGTCCGGCATCCCAGCAGCAGCAGGGGCAGCAGCAGAGGCAGCACCTGCACACGCAGCAGCAGCAGAAGCAGCTGCAAGAGCAGCAGGGGGGTCTGGTAGTGGTGGTGCTGCACCAGAGGCGGACTGCAAATGTGCGCCTGGTTCTCATCTCACTGCCGCACCCGCCGCCTCCTCCGCTCCTCCATCCCTCGCACCCACGACCCCGTCTCTTCTCCACGAGCCGCCCTTCATCCTCGCCTCCCCTGGCTCTGCCTCTTCCTCTCTCTCCCTGCCCTGCCCTTCCCGCTCCCATAGTGCTGACGGGGGGGAGCAGAGAGCAGCGAGCAGCGTGCAAGGGCAGGCGGTGGGGAGTGCAGTGGCTCCCAAGGTGGAGCAGCAGGGGAAGAGCGACGGCAAGGCGGGATGGCTGAGGGAGAGAGTGAGCAGTCACCCTCCCCTCTCCCCGTCTCTCACTCCTGCTGCTGCTGCTTCTGCAGTGCCGGGGACCACAGCAGTGGGAGGCACGGCGTCACAGCAAGGAGCAGCAGCAGCAGCAGCGCAGGCGCATGGACAGGTGGGGTGGGAGGAGGGCGCGCAGGGGTGACTGGGGCAGCACCGGCGCCCACCAGTGGAATAGGGGCGGGTACAGGAGGGGCAGCTCCGGGGGACAAGGGACCTCTGGCGCTGCATTGTGTGTACATGTGGGGGGATGACAGCGCGCCTGGCAGCAGGGCAGAGGCGGGTGCAAGGGTGCCGTGGGTGGTGGCGGTGTGGACAGACTCTCGGGGCGAATTGCTTGAGACCCGCGTGCTGCACGGCTGGGCACATGCTGGGGCGGACGGGGACGCTGGAGAGGACGGCGATGGTGGGGATGGTGAGAAGGGAGGGGAGTCTGGGAAAGGGATGAGTGGTGGCAGGGGAGGTGTGGGTGATGGGACGGGAGGGGGGGAGGGTGGGGATGGAGGGAGGGATGTAAGGGGTGTGGCGGAGGGCAGGGTTGGAGGTGGGGGAGAGGGAGGGGGAGGGGTTGATGGAGTGGGTGGGGTTGGGGAGGGAGGTGATGAGGAGATGAGGCGGGATGGGTGTAGCGTGGAGGGGGAGAGAAAGGATGGGATGGAGGTGGATGGTGGGACGGGTATGGGGGAAAGTAGTGGAGGTGGGGTGGCAGGGGTAGCGGAAGGGAGGCATGATAGGAGTGAGGGCACAGCTGGAGGGTCATTGGCGGCTGCAGCAGCTGAAACGGCAAGACCATCAGCTGCGGCACCAGCAGCAACAGCCACAGGAGGAACAGACTCAGAACCAGCAGCAGAAGGGAAAACAGGGGCAGCAGGAGGGGCAGCAGCAGCAACTGTGCAACCGCGTGCTGGCCGCCCGTCTCCTGCTCCTCCTGCGAAAACTCCCAGGAGCAATGGCAGTGCGCGCAGGGCAAGCATGAGGGCGTGGGTGGGGCGAATGCAGAGTGTGTTGGAGCAGGTGCTGCAGGTGGGCGTGCAAGTGGTGGCGCTGCTGCAGCACAAAGCACGGCTGCAGGCAGGCAGGGACACGGAGAAGGGGCAAGGGGAGGCCGGGAGGGGGAGAGAGGGCGGTGGGGGGGGAGGGGAGGAGGATTGGTGGATGGCCCAGCGGCCGGTTTATGTGGTGAAGGCGGGGCAGGGGATGACACGAGCGGAGCTGCAAGGTACGGATTAACACCATGCCATGTGCAGACCCGTGCCCTTTTGAAGTCACATGCCATGTCTCTCTGCGTTGATTCGTTTCAGCACGCACCATAGTAATTGTGGATGGTGTTTTGTTCCTCTTCTCCCACCCAACTAAACTCCATGCCTTGTGCATTTGTGCCTGTACGTGTGTGCGTGTGGCTTTGCGCCTGCGTGTGCATGTGCATGTATCAGCATGGGAGCAAGCCGTTTTGTCGCTCTCCTCCTCCTCCTTCCACCCAGTTTTCTCCGCATCTTCTCGCAGCGCCACCCACCCACCTCCACGCCACCCCACGCCCACCAGCCGCACACCCCATGCAGCAGCAGGCAAGGCAGCACATGCACAGGCACAGGCACAGGCAGGCAGAAACACCGCACAAGGACGACCAACGGCAACGGCTGGAAAGGCAGAGGGGAGGAAGACGAAGGAGGGATTTCTGGTTGCACAGACAGGAGCAGCCCAGTCCATGCCTGTGCGCCCCCCCTCGCAACCCGCCTCTGCTTCCATCCCCGCCCATGTGGGTGGGCATGAGGGAGGGCAGGTGCAGGGCCGGGTGTCTCAAGAACCTGGAAGCAGCACGCCTTGTGTCGCCCCTGCTCCCGGTGCCCCTAACCCCCTCTCCCACGCCGCTGCCCTTGCGGTGGATCCCCCCCCTCACCTGCCTGGCCAGCGTGCAAGTGGGCAGGAGAAGGGACTGGAGAGCCATGGGGCGGCTGTGGAGGGGGAGGGGGCGGGTGGGGCAGAGGGGATGCGGGAAGGGAGTGCGCGGATGGAGGGACAGCCTGGGGTTGGGGTGGTGGGAGAGAGAGTGACGGGTGTGTGGCAGGGCATTGCAAGCGTGACCATTGCATGGCTGCATGTCGTGCCACATCTGCAACTTATGTCAATACCACCGCCGCCCCCACCCCCGACGCCCTCTCCTGCCCCTGCACCTGTTCCCTCTGTCCTTTCCCCTTCCCTCTCTTCGCCCTCTCTCGTCCCGTCTGCCTCCCCCGTTCTCTCCCCCATGCAACCACACCCTTCCCGCCCCACTCCATTCCCATCCCCACTAGCCTCTCGCCACACTGCCACCACCCCTACCGTACTCCACCTTCCAGAGCCCTTCTCCCCTCCCCTTGCACCCCTGCCCCCATCCTCCCGAACCACTTCCTCCCCCATCCCTCTCCACCCCCCTCCTCTCCCCCACTCGCCCTTCCCCCACGCGCCCTTCCCCCCCCGCATCCCCCATGAGCGCACACACCCCCTGCACCCGCCGCTGCCCTCATCACCCCTGCATGGGGCAGTCGCAATTCCCCCCCGGGGTGCTGTGCAGCCTCCCCAGCAGCACGGGGCGGGATCTACTCTGCTGCTCGTGCCCCACGCTCCATGGATCGACCTCTCCACCCCTGCACACTCCCCCTGCAACCCTCCGTACTTCCCTCCCACTCCTCTGCACCGCTTGCGACCCCCCAAGCGTGTGCGCCTTGCTCTGGGCCGGCTCCAGATACCCAAGCGGAAGAAGCAGCAGGTGCCACTGTTGCTGCCTCCCCCGCCTCCTCCCCCTTCCCCCTGCGCCCCACTCCCCCTCCCCCTACGCCCGCTTGTGGCGGCTCAAGTAACACGAGTGCTGCTGCAGAGACTGAGACAGCAGCATGAAGAGGGGATGAGGAAGGGGAAGCGGGGTAAGTTGATCGGAGGGGATAATGGAAGGACGAAAGGTGGAGTGGTAGCAGTGGGTGTGAGAGGGAGGAAAGGCAGCAGGGGTGAGGAGAGCAAGGGCGAAAGAATTAAGGGCAAAAATGGCAAGGGAAAAGCGGGTGAAGGGATCAAGACCAAATTAGGCAAGAGGAGAAGGGTTGTTGGGAGCAAGGGTGAAAGGAGTAAGGGAGAAAAAAGCAAGGGGAAAGCAGTTGAATTGATCAAGGCCAAATTAAGGAAGAGGAAACGGGTTGTAGGGAGCAAGGTTGAAGGGAGCAACAATAAAGGGGACAAGGGTAAAGCGGTTAAGGACCAAGTGGGCAACGGGAGAGGTGGTGCAGGGAGTAAGGGCAAGGAGAGTCAGGGTAAACGGAGCACGATTAAAGGTGATAAAGTTAAGGCAAGAGGAGAGAAGGTGGTGAAGCAGAACATGGGGAATGAGGAGAAGGGGAAGGGGAAGAAGATGGAGGGTAAGAAGGAAGAGGGGAAGCAGACGAAGGGGAAGGAGGAGAAGGGGAAGGAGAAGAAGGGGACGAAGGAGGGGAAGGAAAAGAAGGGGAAGGAGGACAAGGGGAAGAAGGAGGGTAAGGAGAAAAAGGGAAAGGAGAACGAGGGGACGAAGGAGGGGAAGGTAAAGAAGCCAGAGGGGACGTTGAAGAAAATGAGCGTGGATGGAGTGAAAGTAAAGAGATCTAAGGGCGTGAAAGGGCAGGGGAAGGATAAGGAGCTGGGTACAGGGAAGGTGAAGGGTGGGAGGATGATGAAGAAGAAGACGAAGAGTGTCGCAATCGGGAAGAAAACAGGTAAAACGACAGGTATTGCCATAGAAAAGAAAACAGGTATTGACCGTGGGAAGGAGAAGAAAACAGGTAAGAAGACAGGTGTTGATAGTGGGAAGAAGAAAATAGGTAAGAAGACAGGTATTGATGGTGGGAAGAAGAAGAAGAAAGTAGGTATGAAGACGGGTATTGATAGTGGGAAGAAGAAGAAAACAAGTAAGAAGACAGGTGTTGATATCGGGAAGAAGAAGACAGGCCGCGGTGATAAGAAGGTGGGCCGTAAAAGCAGTGGCAGCAAGGAGGGGAAACTGGTGAAGTCTTTGCGAGCAAAGATAAAGCTGGGCAAGGCCCGGGAGGCAGGGAGGCGGGGCTTCACAGCATCAAAAGTGCACAAGGCGGCAGGCAGGGCGACAGGCAGTGGCAAGAAGGGGAAGAAAGGGGCTCGGAAGCAGTGGAGGCGAGTGTGGCGGGAGAAGATGCGGGAGGTGGGGCGTGTGGTGCGCGAGCTGACGAGCGCGGAGGACGATGGGTGCGAGGCCGTGCGTGGGGTTGCCACAGCTGTGATTCTCAACACGGCAACGCACCGAGGGTGTGCAGGAGGGGAGGGGGGGACGGCAGCAGGGGCAAGCGGTGCAGCAGCGGCATGGCTGGGGCTGGAAGGGCTATCGGTGGGAGCAGCACAGGAGGCGTTTAGGCTTGGGTTGCCGTGGCTGGGCGCGTACCAGGCTGGTGTGAGTGCTGCTGGATTCCTCCCCCGCTCTTCCTTCTCCGGCGGCACTGGTGCTGGGGGCTTGGGTGCAAGGCTGGGGTCGCATGGAGCAGCACATGCAGGTATGGCAGCTTCTAGCAGCCGTTGCTGCTGCTGCTGCTGCTGCTTCCTATCCTTTTCCTGCCCCAGCAGCAGCAGCAGCAGCAGCAGCAGGTGGCGGTGTGATGGCAGGAGGGATCGGGTGTGGTGCTGGGGGAGGGGTGGTGGCTGTGACTGTTGCGGCTCACTTCATTGCAGGCTCTGCTGCTGCTGACGCACGGCACAAGCAAGGGGAGGCAGAAGGTAAGCAGCAGAACAGGTGCGTTACGATTCAGGGCAGGAGAGACAGGCGTGCGGTGGGGAGAGGTGCTGATGCGAGACAGAGGGCGGGTGATGGAGTGACTGATGGTGTGCAGAGAGAGGGTGAGGGGCGGGGAGATGTGGGGGTGAAAGTGAAGCGAGAGAGGGAAGGGGAGGGCTGTGGGCCAGGAGGAGCGGAGCAGGGAGGGGGGGAGGGGAATGCGGAGGGCAGGAGGAAGCGACAGCGGGTGGAGGTAACAGGTGGAGCGGCAGGGCCAGGTGGTGGGGAGGGTGTGGTGCAGGAGGGCAAGGGTGGGGAGAGTAGCGTGCATGGCAGGGGGGAGGAGGGTGTGGAGGGCAATGGTGCAGAGATGGGTTCGAAGGTGCAAGGCAGTGGTGGTGGGAGGGTGAGTGCAGAGCAGAGAGAGGCAGCTCCTGAGCCGTCTCACAAGGCGCGAGGAGAACACACAGAGGCCCAGGCTGGGGATATGGGGGAGGCGGGAGGACCGGCACAGCACAGGAATGGCATGGGCGTGGGCAGTGAGGGAGGGCGGGAAGGAGGAGAGCAGCGGACACAGAAGAGCGATACAGGCAGCAAAGGGGCTGAGAAGAGGGAAGGCGAGGTGGGTGAGAGTGAGTGGTGGGAGGCAGCAGCAGATGCGGCGGCAAGGCGCGTGGCACAGCAGGTGGGAGCAGAGCTGCATGCGCTCTCATGGCTCTCCGTGTCCCCTGCCTGCCCCTCCCCGCTCTCCCACCTCCCCTTCCACTTCCTTGTAGCCGCCCGCCTGCTGCTGCTGCTGCAGCATGTGCCCTGCGCTGCACCTGCGTATGTATCTAGTGGGGCTATGTGCGGTGTTGGTGAGGCAGAAGCAGGTGTGGGAGGGGGAGGAGAGGGTGGTGGTGGTGGTGCAGCGCGTGGAGGGGAGCAGGCGGAGCAGGCAGCAGATGTGCGAGCGCACAGCCAAGGCGCATGCTTCTGAGAAATCACTTGACACTAGTCCACCCTGCTCCTCCTGCTGCATCTCTAAGCTGCAGTCTTCTAACATGCACTGGCGCACTAGACAAGTCTAATCCGTTTACATACGTGACCATGAAACCAAGCTGTGCAACAGTTTTTGTCTGCCAGATGTCTAAATATTTTTCCTTATTAATGCTTTTATATAGGAATTATATCAGCTCTATTACCCGCCCTCGCCCAGCAGAGCACTGCACTTTCTGCAGAACCAAACCATGCTATATTACAAGTGACCCAAGCTACTCAACCTCAACAGAATACTCTCTACTCTACCTACCATATCTCCGGCCAGCACCATGTTTCTCCCCAACTTGTCAAGCACAAACCTGCTGTGGTAGTACCATCTCCCCATCCTGCCTGTGGCAGCTCAGCTCGTCCCGACACAGTCAGGAGACGATCCACTGACGGAGCATCTGTGCAAGGTCAACGCGGCTGGACATCATGGGTTTATTGGCCGCCCACGTGTCATCCCCCATGGTGCAGTGCGCCACCGCGCTGAACAGAAACGCCTTCATCTTGCTGCCCGCTGCATTGCGCTCCTTCACCACGTCCCGCACCGTCTGCTCCATGCCGCGACTATATCTCGCGAGAATGTCTGCAGTGCTCTTTGGGCATGACGCCACGTTGCCGCGCCGCATGCACGCGCGGATGGGAGCGCCCTCGGGGATTGTTTCCGGGGCGAGGGTTTTGGCGATGCCCGAGTAGTCGAGGATGCTCTGCACGAGGAAGAGCGGCGTGTGCACAAAGTGCAGCCCGTATTGCGGGAAGAAGCACTTCCATGTCTCGTTGCGCGCCGCGTAGTCTGTTGGCGGCGCGGGGAGGGTTGGTGAGAGAGGGGGGAGAGGAGAGTGGTGATGGGATGAGAGTAGGGGTTGTGAGTGGATAGATGAGAGGATAGGGTCGTGGATTGCTGGAAGAAGTCACTTTAGAGAAAGAAGGCGGAATGATGGAGGAAAACGATGGATACGGGTGGTTTGGAATGTTCATGGGTATGAGCACGAGCATAAGCAGAAGCACGGGGCTTTGAGGAGGGGGCTGTGAGTGGGTGGACGAGAGAATGAGGTGGTGGGTGGTTGTGGAAAAAGAAAGCAGAAACAGCATGGGACGGGCGTGGGCAGGAGCATGGGTGTGGGCGTGGGACTGACACTTGGCGCAGGCGGGGTGCACGCCAGCCTCCATTTGGTGCAGGGCGAAGAGCGTCTGAATGGTGCCTCGGAAGTAGTACTGCCCGTTCACCGCTGGGCCGTCTGAAGGGCGCGGGACACACACACGACGGCACGGGGCAGGGCGTTTGAATGTGCGAGAGGAATCACGGGTGCAAGGAAGCAGGGAGTACGAGGAGTGCACACAGGCAGTGCGCATTGTAGGGGTGATAGTGGTCCAAACTCAAAACGGATTCAAGCAGTGCGGCGGAGTGCACGGGGTGCGTGGAGTGAAGTGGAGTGCAGTGGAGTGGTGTGGAGTGCAGTGGAGTGGCGGCTGACCGAGGAAGAAGCCAGCGTCCATGATGCACTTGAAGGACGGCTGCAGTGCGGGGGGCAGCATGGCGGCCACGGAGTCGCACTTCATGCCCACCGCCACTGCGCCCGCGCTGCACCCCGACAGCACCACCTGCTGCGCGCCCGCCATGCCGCGCTGCTGCAGCAGGTCTGCGCGCACGGTCAAGCGCAGGGAGGGCGCGGGGGGACGGCGTGGGGGAGCATGCGATGGTGGTTTGGTGGGAATGATGGCCGGTGACAGGTGGAGAGTGGAGAGTGATTAGTGGGCAGCGTGACGGGTGATACTACAATGACTCGAATAAAGTGCAGGTCTGATGGGTGCTGGCCTCTGTTTTCCATGCGCCCTACCAGCAGCGCCTGCGAGCACGGCAAGGCGTGGCATGGCATGGCATGGCATGGCATGGCAAGGCATGGCATGGCACGCATGCGTACACACACTTGTCGCAGCAGCAGGTAGCAGCAGCATCAGGCAGCAGCGCACCTTGGATGACGGCTTTCAGGATGCCCGCGCCCATGGCGTACATGGCGGCGCCGCCCTTCTTGACGGCGCCAGCGCTGCCGGCGAAGCTGGCGCCGTCGCAATACTTGACGAGCACGACGTTCCAGTTGTAGAACAGCGGGTTCACCGTCGCGTTCGCGCTCCCGATTCCGCCCATCAGCGCCGACGCCGACCCCTGCTCGCACCGCGCGGCCAGGGGGAGCAGGGGGCGAGGGAGCGGGGGGGTTAGGTAGGAAGAATGAACTTTTGAGGTGCGTCACAGAGAAGAGTGGGGAGGGGGCGGGGGGGATTGGCTGAAAATGAGGATGTCGCCCCGTGGAGAAAGGGGTGGAGCAGCGGAAAAGAGGGAAAGAGGGTGCAATGGGAGGAGGGAAGTGGATCGGTGGTATATGCCTGAATGCTCTCGTGGATGGGTGGTGTCGTGGGTTAGTTGGTGGCACGACTAAGGAGCGTGAGTTGACTCACCCCGGGCGACGCGGCTTTGCCAGGCTGGCCAGGCACGGGGTTGGGCCACGTGGTGCTGCTGCCCAGCCCCGTGGCTTTCCGCCGCACGCACCGCTGCATGTTGAAGCACCACCCGCCGCCCTGCGCGCACGCACGACGCGGTTCGCACACGCGCAGCAAGGTTAGGACCAAAGCGGGCAGGCGCAACATCAACGGCGTGCGGTACGGCGATATTAGAGGCGCCGGCGGGGGAAGCGATCGGATGGGAGGGAGGGACGGCGGGGACTGCAAGGGAAGCGGAATCGTTTCCGCGGGGGTAGACGGGCACTGAAATGCGCGGCGGTCGCGCAACCGTCCAGGTGGTGGCGCCGATCGTTCCGGGCAGATGGAGTCGTGTGAGCGCACACGATGCACGCCGGCAGTGGCGCGCAGCACACGACACACGGGCCGCCACGCTCTCCCCCTCCCCTCACCTCACGCGGAGGCCACTGCTGTGCACCGTGGTGCACCTTTCTCCGCACTCCCATCGCGCCACGGCGCGGCGCAATGACCACCCCGTGCGAGTGGAACTTTGATTCATCGAAAAAACAAGCAGGGGCTTTCCCACCTCGTGCCGAGGCTGCCCTCGCCCCGCCCTGCGAGTCACCCTCCCTCCTCCCTGCACCCCGCCCTGCGTCCCGCCTTGCGCCCCGCCCTGCGCGCACGCACCTCGAGAGTGATGAGCCACCGCTTGCTGCCCGTGCCGAATCCGCGCTGATGGTAGTACCCGGCGGGGCTGGAGGCGGGGGAGGGGGGAAAGCGGAGTAGGGGGCGGGGAAGAAGGCGAGGTATGGTCAAGAGCGATCAAAAGAGCGGCACGCGCGTAGCATTCGGCGTAAAAGTGGCTGCGCGCAACGGGCGGCTCGTAACGACTTTTTGAGACGTTTCCGGAATGGGTGGTCGCGGCGGCGGCGCGCGGCAGCTGCGTACCTGCCGTCGAGGCATCGCGGGGCAGTGCTGCTGGCGGTACTCAATAACACCTTCACCGTATCCATGCTGTTCGCCTGCGTGCCGCCCACCCCTCGCACCACCTTCCCCGTATCGCTCGATCCGCTAGATCCGCTGGATCCGCTCGACCCACTTCCCTTACTGTTTCCGCTGCTTCCGCCACTTCCGCCACTTCCGCCACTTCCGCCACTTCCGCCACTTCCGCTACTTCCGCTACTTCCGCTGTTTGAGCTGCTTCCGCTACTTCCGCTTTTTGCGCTGCTTCCGCTACTTCCGCTTTTTGTGCTGCTTCCGCTACTTCCGCTTTTTGCGCTGCTTCCGCTACTCCCGCCGTTTCCGTTGCTTCCGCTGCTGTCCGTCGCGGGCGACTGGTGGTGGCCTTGACCGGGAGAGTGGTGTCCGCCTTTTTCCCCGTGGTGCCCGCCATCGCTTGGCGGAGACCCTTTCGCTATGCGCGTCTGCACTGTGGGGCTTGGGGAAGATGGCGGAGCCGGCGCAGGTGGCGGAGATGGGGTAGATGTAGGAGGGTTACTGGGAGGAGGAGGAGAACCGGACTTGTCAAGCGCGGGTGCCCGAAGCAGCTGCGCGGAGAGTTCAACGTCGCCATGGCTGGCGTCGGACGGGGAACTATGTGAATTCTCTGGTGTTGCGCTGGGCTCCACATTGACCCGTTTGGTTTCGCTATGCTCCGCCAGTTCGCGAGAGGGGACGGTTCGGCGGGCACTGGCGGAAGGGCGCGTCACTCCCCACCCGCGGACGACGTCCGCCGGGCCCGCGCCTACCGCTGGCGCTGCTAGGCGTCGCGGGGAGGAGCGCTGTGCCGCAATTAGAGGGGCATTGGCGGGCGGAAGAAGTCGAAGGGATAAGGGCTGGTGCGAGGGGTCGGCTATGTGAGCCGCGCATGCTACGGAGATGGGAAAGGCCGATTTTAATGTGATGGCGGTGAGGAGGAAGAGGAAAGAGGCGGAAATCAACGCATGCTGTGTTGCGCGAGGAGGGGAAGAAGGACGCGGTTGTATTTGCGCCGCACACGTTCTTGAGCTCACAGCTTCTCTCGCCGACACAGCCGCTCGGAACGGCCGTGAAGTCTGGCAAGCACTAGGTGGCGGCATTACTTCGGTATCCCTAACGGGATATTCTTGCAATCGAGCTTGGAGGCATCTGAGTGTCAACGTGTCTTCCTGGTAATGGCTCTGGTCTAACAACTATGGCGGAGGGCACAGCAAACCACGACACCTGATGCTCCTGCCAGTGGTGCTGCGAAGTCGATGCAACGTTTAACTGGGGTTTCTATAGAATCCCCGTCAGCGATCGAGCACTGTTCTTGCATACGGAAAACAGGGTGTGCTGACCAGTGCATTTGTAGTTATTAGCCGCATTACGTCTGCGAAACGACGGGGTTGATATGCTGACAACTCAAAAGTTTTGTTACAATATGGAACATGTGCGGCATGGTTGGAAGATTCAGGTGCCGCGAGCGGCAATGTGCAAATTATTCTACTCCGCAAGGGGGGATGCTAGGTTATGCATTGAAATCCAACCCTGACGCGCAACAGCGATTCCTTTCGCGGCACGGTTTATCTTGTGCGTGCAAAGCTGCACTGCCGGGAAATCGTCGCCCCCTACTGAATGATCGCAGGTTTCGTCAAGAGTGCGGTCCGCAAGGGCCAGGCAGGTCGTCTGACTGGGAAAGCGAACCCTTGCGACGACAGACCTGTGGGCGACGAGCTGACACGGTAGTCCCAAGGCTGCCCAAGTCGCACTCACACTCTCATCACATTTCAACTCGTGTCTTGCCGCCACTTCAGCCTGGTCGGCGAGTTCGGGTTATCCAGTGCAATATACAAGGCCCCGGTAGCAGCTAAGAAGTGTGAACATGCGAATTACATCTATCATAGAGCACTCATAACTTCACACATCTTGTTGACTTCCTATGAACTTCACTGTAAGCTACACAGCGGCTTCGGTCTGTGAAAACAGTTCCACACTTCCATTACTGTGAATATGATATGTCGCGGATGGTCTTTGTATCCTGAAAATGTTTTGCGCGGTCGGGCTTTGCCGCCTAAACATCCTCCTCCCGTTGCGGTGTCTGCGGTGCGCTGCCAGCAATTGCGAGTCGCGATGCGATGCTGTCACCTCCTCGCATCAATTTGGCATGTGTGCATCGAACAGCCGCCAGCCCAACAAGACCCCACCATGGATCTTCACAGCCGATGGGTCTGCTGCCTGACGCCCAGCCATCACATGCCGTTGCGTGAGACAGCAACTCAAAAAGCGAGAGTTGGGGCAGCGGTGAGGTGACTCGTGAGCATCATCAACCACCGCCCCGAGATGGCGACTGCGCGAAATTTTGGGCTCATCCATATGGAAATCATCCAGTCGTAGTGGTGGGCGTACAATTCACTCAAACTTGTCCAGTCTTAGTGTTCGCGTGCAGATTCTGATGCTTCTCTCGCTAATTTTACTAGTTTAGATTCGCAGCGCCAGCAATGGCGGCCAAAGTGCGTTATCTCCTCGTTACCATTCCCCTGCTGCTCCTCCTCGTATCGGTTGTCCTTGCCGCCAACAATCCGCCCACCACAAAGCCTGTTTCCAGACGCAGCAGCAATCGTACGGCACCTGCGCGCCGCTCCCCACCGGTGCCGTCCGCGGGAAGCGCGGCAGGCCGATCGAAACAGCGGGGAAGCACGGCGCGCACGCCCGCTCCTCCCACGAGGAAGCGCACAAGCCCGTCGCCAGGCAGTCCGACGCGGAGCCCCGTAGCGGCGAAGGGAGGGCGCAAGGTGCGCGTTCCGCGGGCCGGTACTACAGCACCGAGCAGCAGCCTGAGCCTGATCAAGCTGCCCAATAACCGCTACAACGCCAAGTGCCTGGATGGCAGGTGAGCCACGCGGCGCGGCCAGCACGGAGAAGTCTCAGCCTAGAATTTCCATGCGTTGCTATTTCTAGCTCTCACAATCTCGTCGCGCGGAAGCTTCAACTCTCACATACGAAGCGCCAGCCAAGCAATCACCCTAGTACCACCACGTGCCCTCGTCTTCGCTTCTACCGTTCGCGCTTCACCTTCCTAACTCCTTCTCAAAATCCTTCCCCGCACGCCCCTCCCTGCTTTTCCCCCAATCAGTCCGCCCACATATTACCTGCGCACGGGGTACGGCTCGGGCGCCAGTTCGTGGTTGATCTACCTGCAGGGCGGCGGCTGGTGCACGTCCGTCACCGCATGCGTGGCGCGCGCAAAGACGGTGCTGGGCAGCTCCAACTTTTACCCGCAGCCGTCCGATCCCAACTTCGACAAGACCGTAAGTTCCCGTCGGATGGACTCCGTGCGTCCCGCTACGGTTCTTTGAGCATTCTTCTCACCCGTTCCGCATCCTCCTCCTCATTCCCTGCATTCCCCCCTCTGCCCACCTTCCCCCCCACAACCCTTCTCCCCCTCCCCGCGCACCCCGTGCAATCCCCCCAAACCCAACTTCATTCCCCGCGCGCCGGTGCGTGCGCAGATGCGCGACTACGGCAACGCGTTCACGGGCATTCTGAGCAACAGCTCCACGGAGAACCCCGACTTCTACAACTGGAACCTCGCCATGGTCGTCTACTGCGACGGCGGCGGCTTCGCCGGCACGCGCCGTCAGTACGACCTGCCGTCCGGCGGGACCATCTACCTGGACGGCGCGCGGGTGTTCAAGTCCGTGCTGGAAGGTGCGACGCGCGCAGGCTGGGCTGTAGTAGAGGGGTAGGGCGGAGCGACGGGCGGGTTGCTCACTCAGGGACGGAGCGACGGAGTTGACTCAGAAAGCATGAGATTCTCCGTAGAATCTGGTAGCACTCTGCTGCTCCATAGTCCCGTTCCTCATTACCTTAACTCCCCGCCCCGCGTCCCACCTCCCGCGCACTCCCGTTCCCCTCCCCTTTCCCGTCTCCCCCCGCCTCTCCGCGCAGACCTGTACGAGCGCGGGTTGCTGCAGGCGCGCAAGGTGCTGTTCACGGGGTGCTCGGCGGGCGCGCAGGCGGTGTCGTCGATGTGCGACCGCGTGGCGACGTACTTGCCGCCGGGGTCCGTCAAGTGCATGATGGACGCCGGCTTCTTCCTCGGTGAGCCGCCGCTTCACTGCAGCCGGGATAGCAACGCATCGTTCAGGCACGCACATGGATCGTGTGTGAGTCTGCTCAATTGTTACCACTTCCTCGCAGTCCCCCTCCATCCACTCACTCTTCCATCATCCCACGCACTCTCTCCCCGATTCCCCCCCTCCCTCCTTCCTCCTCTCAACTTCTCCCTCCCCTTTCCATCCCCTCCTCAACCCCGCGTGTGCGTGCGCGCGCAGACGGGTGGGACGTGACGGGGCGCATGTACTTCCGCGACCTGTCCATGCAGTTCACGGAGCTGCACCGCCCCGCCGTCGAGCAGGGCTGCGGCGATGGTGAGACCAGGGACAAGGGTCACGAACTCAGGGCACAAGGGATGGGCATTGCTCGTTAGGAATGGAGAGCCATGGAAACGGAGGAAGTGTTTGTTGGGCATAAGGGGCATAAGCGTTTGTCGGGCACAGTCAAAGTCTTCTTACCCTTGCCACCAGCCACCTTGTGCTAGTGCCTCGCCTCTCACCGTCTCCCCCACGAATCCTTCTCCCGCATCCCCTGCCCCGCGCACCTTGCCAACCTCCTCCCCTGTGCCGTGCGTGGTGACAGCGTACACGGGGTCGACGCAGTACTGGCGGTGCTTCTTCCCACAGTACAACGTGGAGTTCATCGACACGCCGCTCTACATCGTCAACTCCATCAACGACTACGCCGCCATCGAGATCCTCAACTACGCGCAGAACACCTCCAATAATATCCTCAAGTGCCTTGCTGAGATCGCTCCCAACGGCGGCAGCGGGGGCTATGTGCCGCGCGCCACACGCAACCTGCTGGCCAGTGCAGGGGCGGCAGCAAGGGGGAGCCGCACGCAACCTGCTGGCCGAAGCAGTGCCGGCAGTAGGCCGGCAAGCAACTCGTCGTGCACGGTACAGGCCCAGGCGGCGCTTAAGAGTTACTCCACGCG